AGCTCCAAGGACAAAGCCCATTGTGCCCCTAGCCAGCTGGCAGAGCCAGTTACCATCACTAGGTGGCGCACACACATAAGCAGTAGGTTGAGCCCCCCCTCCCCAAAAGTTAGAAAACTAGAGAAAGCAAACCCATGCAACAAAGAAGGAATGCAAGAATGCGGTTCACAGATTCAAACAGCTATGGCATTTTTGAAATTCTGACCACCAAGCTGCTTTATCCTGTGCCCCCAAAACTTGGGGCTGGGTGGATATCGGTCATGATGGAAATCTCCCTGCACCAGGCGGCAGCGAGAGCAAGGTACAGAGTCTGAGGGCCTGCCGGCTCCGCAAGGACCCGATGGCCCCCACAGCAGCCCATCTCTCCCTTGAATGGCCTCTCTAAATCATCATCCATACCGCTTAATATTAGTAACCTACGCAAAAGCCATTTCTCCCTTTTCCCAGGCTAGCAAACTCCCCTCACATAACTAGGACAAATCATGAGTAGACTGAACCAACCAGGGTTCTTATTCCCCTTGACATTGATGGGTTTGGGGATGGGCATGTGACCCAGATCCAGCCAGTGAGCACTGGAGAGGCCGGGCATCTTCTAGGGAAGGAGCAGAGGGAGAGTTGGATAAGCACACTCCATGCTGAGCGCAGAACCCAATGCAGGGCTTGATCCCATGACCCTCAGATGGTGACCTGAGCCAACCAGGCGCCCCAAGACTTCCTACTCTTAAAAAAAAATTAATTTCTGTTGTTTAAGCCACTCAGTTTGTGGTACTTTGTTATAGTAGCTGTAGCAAACTAATCCAGGGAGCCAATGGAGAGTTTTGAGCAGAAGAGTTACACACTCTTACTTTTTAAAGGAATCACACATTGTTGCTACCTTACAAAAAGAGTGGAAGCAAATGGACCAGCCAGGCTGCTAATGCAATAAGCTGGGTGGGAGGTGATTGTAGGCCACAGTGGAGGGAATGAGAAAAGCAAAGCCAAGAGAATATGCTACTTGGTTGGGTGTGGGGAATGTGTGTGAGAAGAACCAAGGGTGCCCACATCTTAACGTTATTCATCTTCAGCTCGAGAAGCCTCCGTGTCTCCTGGGTATTCTTGTTATTTTGTGTTGACATCTCTGTCTCTATTTTTCCTTTAAATGATAATGTCCCCCAGGATTTGGTCTTCTGCCTTCACAGTCTATAGATCCTCCTCATAGATCACAGCCAAACCTATGACTTCAACTTTCACTGGCATTTTGATGACTCCCAAATACATAACTCTTTGATTTCCCTTCTGATTGCCAGAAACAAATATCCAGACTCCATTAGGCATTCCCGCCTCGCTATCCCACAAGCTTCTTTCATTCATTTTGTCTAAATAGACTCATATGGGGTGCCTGGGTGGCTCAGTCGGTTGGACGTCTGCCTTCAGCTCAGGTCATGATCCCAGGGTCCTGGGATCAAGCCCCGTGTCGAGCTCCCTGTTCAGTCGGGAGTCTGCTTCTCCCTCTTCCTCTGCCCCTTCCTCCATCCCTGTTCATGCTCCTTCTCTCTCAAATAGTTAAAAAATCTTAAAAATAAATGGACTCATTATTTACCCCCAAGTGTGTTCCTCCTCCTCTATTCCCTTCAGTGTACCTGGGAAGTTCAAATGTGGCTTCAGCTTGAGGCAGTTAGATCTAGGGGTTCAAATAATGTTGTCAAAGTCGCTCTGCTCACACACACACCTCTTCTCTACTTCTTTATGTTTATTGGATTCATTCTTTATGTGTATTGGATTCATCCATTCATCAGAAAGAATGGTGAATGGTTCAAGCCTATGTACTTAGAGCTTGTGATCCAAAAGGATCAGAGGCCTTCTCTTTCCTTTGATCCACCTATCAAATATTAGAGTAGTTCCTGATTGGTTTTGTTTGGCCCATATGCCCAGTCTGGAGCCCAGTCACTGGTGCCAGGAGGACAGAATACTCTAACTGGCTAGCCTTGGTTCTACGCCATCTTCAAGGGAAGGTGTGACCGACAGGACATACCACATGGAGTAGGGGAGGTATGGTTCCCTAGAGGAAACCATTATCAGAAGAAGGAATGCTAGGCAGTCAGTCGTATACTCCAGTCACACTGTTATATTCAGTGATTCCCAGGAATTACTTGTAACAATTTTTGTAACTAGATGTTCACTTGTCTGACGATTTGACATCTACCTCCCTCACTAGATTGGAACTCGTCAAAGTGTAACTGTGTATTTTTGGTGACCACAGTGTCCCCTGGCACACAGTAGGTGCTTAGTATTTGATGAGTGGTTGGCCTCCAAACCTGTCCAAAGGCTTGCCTTTTCTAATCTATGTCCACCCTGCCACCAGAGTGACCTTGAACTGTGCATCTGATTATGCCACTTCTCTGCTTGTACTCACTGGCTTCTTGGAGATCTCAAACTAAACCCCTTAGCTAATCATGGAGAGACCACGCAACCTGTCAGTTCTCCATTTCTCCCTAATGATCCAGTCATCCTCAGCTACCGACTGTTTCTTGCCTGCTTACTTTTTTGTACCTTAGTCTACATTATTTGTTGTCTCCAATGCTTTTCCATCTTTTTCTCTGCCACCTCCAATAAACCCTTCAGAATTTGGCTCTTGCCAAACTGTTAGACGTCCTCCTCTCTGCTCCTGAAGCAGGTAGTGTTCTCTCTACTTAGCATACTTCGTGGATTTATTCCAGGGCTGCCCCATCTACACTCGATGCTCCTTGAAGGCAAGGGTTTTTACTAATTTTTGCTGACCAGTACCCAAAATTCTTGCCAAAGAGAATCAATGGTTCCATTCTCTCTGTGTAGCTACTTCTATTGCAATAAACATTACAGTCATTAATGTTGCTCATTCTTCTCCTAGAGGATTCTATGTAGTATTAATCCCTGCACCTAGCCTGGTGCGGCTGAGCTGTTCTGACCTAAAAAGTCAATTACAGAATAGAATCACACACACAAAAATATTTTATGTACTTCAGACACTTTTAACTTAAAACAAATACATAGCCATTCACTTTTGATGTAGGGCCAAGGCATTTCCCTCGAGTGTGGGCCTATTATTTGGAGTCCCACTGGTTTGGGGGTTTTTATGGGGTTTTCGTTTTTTGGTTTTGTTTTGATCATGCATGACTGGCTCATTTATTCCAAAGAATTATTGTATTTATTTTGTTTTCCATGCATACTTTTTAGCAGTAATATGAAAGAACCATTTTAAAAATTGGAAGAATTTAAACAGAACTTGTAATGATAAAAATCCCACGTTTTATGGTGGATGCTTTCCAAAGATAAAATGTTTTAAAACCAAAATGTATCACCTCTGATTTCCAGTTTTTGCTTCCTTAACGTGGAACTGTGAACTGAAACACTGAGAAAGGATAGAAGGGCTGAATCTTTCTAAATTATTACTTTTTTCAGTCTCTCTTCTTTCACCCACAAATAAGTCAAAACAATTATGTTCAGCAACTTGCTTTTATTGAGTCATTCCAAACCATTCAGTTTTCATAGATGCAATTCTTTTTGCATTCATATTAATTTGCCTAATATTTTGTCAATTTATGTGATTAAAATTAACAAAACAAATAACGTTCCACAATTCACAGGTGGGAGCTGAAGTGCATAAGCATGGCTAAGAGCATTCGATGTGCTGTGCGCATCAGTCAGTGTGCTTTGCAGAGAGAATGGAGAGGATGCAGGGGAAGACTTGGATAAGAGAAGGTTGGATCAGGGAGCTCTGACTGGAGTATATTAACCCCATTTTCCAGATGAGGCAGCTGAGACTTAGAAAGTTACGACACTTGGCCATTTTTAATAAGTGATTCATATATGAAAAACACAAACAGAGATACAGAGAGGAGAAAGAACCGGCTGTCTAAAGGTCAAAGAAAACTTAGGAGGAGATGATGCTTGAGCAGTCTAGAAGGGAATAGGAGGAAATCAGACAAGTAAGCGGGAGAACATTCCAGGCAGAGAAAACAAGGGTAATAAAGTCCAAAAAGACTGTGAAAAATGAAGTATTCTTAAAATAAATTCTGCTTGACTGGAGCCTAGGTTTATCAGGGTGTGAGTGGGGGCTAGAGATCCAGACTGGGATGGTTTCCCGTGCCAAATAGTTTACTTAGAGGCTCCCGGGAGCCACTGGACAAATTTCCTTGGAGAAGCAACACAGTTAGACTTATATTATAGAAAAACATTGCCATGACAGGACGGACAACGGGCCAGACTAAGGGAGACGGCCTGGGAGGCTGCTGCAGGGGAACTCGGGACAGTGATGAGGACCTGAACCCAGCGGCGTCCACACATGGTATTCTCTTCCCATCGACAAGTGCCGGCAGGAACAAACAGGCATGCGATCAGTAAAACCCAAGCTGAGGGAAACTCTACAGGGTAAACAGCTCAGTTTCTTCAATAAACAAATTGCAAGGGGGGAAATGACAGAGACAGTGGGGAGCTAAAATGTGAGTGGACTCCAAACCCTACAGCATTAGCATCACCTTGCACTTGGGAGAAGTGCAAATGCTCAAGCTCCACCCCAGACGTAGAATCAGAAACTGTCTTAAAAAGCCTTGTAGGGGATTCTGATGCACTCTTTTTTTTTTTTTTAAAGATTTTATTTATTTATTTGACAGAGAGAGAATGAGAGAGAGCACATGAGAGGGGGGAGGGTCAGAGGGAGAAGCAGGCTCCCCGCCGAGCAGGGAGCCCGACGCGGGACTCGATCCCGGGACTCCAGGATCATGACCTGAGCCGAAGGCAGTCGCTCAACCAACTGAGCCACCCAGGCGCCCTCTGATGCACTCTTGTTTGAAAACTGCTACAACAGACTGGAAGAAATTTACAATGCTTATCAGCCAACTGCAATACAGTTATCTTATTTGGCTCTTCATTCAAAAAAGATTGCAACAAATTTTGACATCCTTAGACAATTTATGGTATCAAGGAATTATCAGTTTTTTAGGTACGTAAATGATGTTAAGATTATATGTACACATACACACATATTTAAAAGCATTGAAATATTTATGCATAAAAGATGGGATGCCTAGGATTTGCTTCAAAATACTACAGGAGGCAGGCAGGGGTAGACATGAGATTGGCCATGAGTTAGTAATTGTTGAATAATGGGTATCTCAGTGTTCTTTATACTTTTTAAGACTTTTGTTTTTGAGACTTTTTTCCATTCTAAAAAGTTTAAAAACTCAAGGGTAAAAGTAAATTAAAAGACTACACCTTAAGCAGAATTAATGCAAAAAAAGAAAGTATACTGAAAAAAACCCTACTACATACTAGTGTGCGGCAAAATGGTTTTGATTTGGATGTAAGGGAATTCTGTATGCTCATCAATCCACTGGTGTCATTGTATGTCCCTGACCCCACTGGAGGATGATTTACATGGGAGAAGAGGGACCACAGTCTGCTCAAGGGCACATGAGTACCTACACCCATTTGCTTTCCAACTTCCAAACTGACCTAGATTTTGGAATGCTATCTGTTAATAAATTCAGGTTTACCTGCATTTTTTTCCCCCAAAGTTTACTGCTTTAGCATATTATGACTGCAACCTGAGTAGGCTAATACACAGCATTAAAAATGCTTGATTTTTTCCCCTTAAACTAGAAAAGGGACAACTATCCTTTACATAGGTCCAGTAGCCAAGTCATACATTTTAAGAGATGTTCAGAGGCTTGTCTGGCTTGAAAGGTCATCATCCAAATGACTAGTCTTGAAAACTGTTCAGGGCAAGTAATTAAAAAAAACTAATTGTGAGGTTGCATAGGCCTTAATATGTCCTTTAATTTACATTCTCGTGATGTGGTAGCTTTACTCTTCTGTAATACACCTATTGTGCTGTTTTAGAAATAGGGTGAATAGATGTTACTCTCCTTCCTTTTTACTCTCCCTCTTATTCACCCTCTTCTATTGAAATACACTTTATGAAAACCTGGTCCATAAGAAATTTAATTAGAAAGCACTCTCATCAAAACCTAAGGAGGTAGGTGGTAGGATGGATTATATATTCTCACTTTACAAAGGCATTGGCAGAATTTTCAGTGTGGTTCCTTCTCTTTTCTGTTTTATTTTAGAGATTCCGTCATTTTTGTCATCACTGTTATCATGATCATCATTTTTGTCATGATCATTCTTTTCACTATTATTTTGCCTGGAACAGTCATTGACGCGGGGAAAAGACTGTTAGAAATCATTGCCGTCCATTATCAGGCATCCTTTCTGATCAAAGTGACCTAGAAATAAAGATTTCTGTTCCATTTCATCTACTTTTGTTGAGCTTCTGCTGTGTTCCCACCCATGTGATAGCTTTAAGGAAACAAGAACCACCAAGCACCCCCCGCCCCCAATTCATGTCTCCTGTACTCTAGCTGAAGAATAAGAGCCGAGGGAAGAGAATCACCGCACGCCTATGGGGAGGGACTGGAGAGCCCGCACTATGTAACTTTAGGTGGCTTCGCTCCAAATCCTAACTCTGCCACTCACTAGCTAAGTGATGGTGAGCAAGTTACTTAACCTCTCCTGCCCGTTTCTTCATCTGTTAAATGAGGGTAAGAACAGTAGTTACCTTATGGGGTTTTCTTGAAACAATTCTTAACCAGATAATCCATAAAACACTTAAATTTATCCATATATTTTATAAATATCTGTGTTGACCATTGTTTCTTATATCCTACACCTTCCTCCTGGTATTCTTTTCTGTCCTGGAAATATATATATATATATATATATTTCTTTTTTTAATATGAAAGCTCTATGCCCAACATGGGGCTTGAACTCATGTCCTCGAGATCAAGAGTCGCATGCTCTACTGACTGAGCGAGCTAGGTGCCCCAGAAACATAACCTTAGAAGTTCATAATTATCTTGGATTTTGTAGCTCTGAAAATACTGCCTCCCAGTTTTGCCCCCAATCTTATGGTTTAGCCGTACATAAAATTCTAGGCTGATAATTATTTTCCTCAGCTTTGAAGATATTATCCCACTGTCTTCTGGATTTTATGCCATTGAGAAGTTTGCTATCAGTTTCACAGTTGTTACTTTGCAAATAACATGTCTTCTCTCATTGGAAGAACACATGCATCTAAGGAGACTACTGATCAATGTATGTATTTGTTACGAGAGTAACCACTTCATACAAGATTTCCAATTTCAGGGATTAGGCAGGGGAAGTTCATGATAAAAGCATCCTCTCATCCTTTACAAAGGAACACGGCAGGAACTAAAGGCCACTGTGACCAAAAGGAAGCTCTGCAAGGCTTCCTACCTCTAACTATAACCTTGCCTCCAGGGGAGGACTAAGAGTGCCTTGCCAAGAATCCCGTAAGTCACCCAAGGGTTTAAAGGGATGCCAAGCCCTCCTTTTTATACTCCCATGAGTTACTTCTCTCCTTTCCTCTCATGCTTTCCACTTCTTATAATAGGACAACTCTATATTATGAGCTTATAAGGCAAGTATGATAAAATAGTACATTTAAAACTTTGAGTTTAGCCCTTCCTGGCCAATGTTTATGTTCAGATTACTAAAAACATGTATCTAGGAATATGGTACAAAACAGATCTGACCTTGTAGATGAAATAGCTAAAATTTTGGCGTCTTTATTGATCCTGGGTCATATACTTGGCTTGGAAACAATGTACAACAAATAGTTCCAATTAAGATATCACAAACTAAATTTTTCTTCCAGATCTCTAAATGCTCATGGAGAGCCAACTTCCATGGTACATGGCACACAGCACAGACTTGAGAGTCAGGCCCACAGAAAATATCCATGTAGGCCAAACAAGAAAGATGCTATTTGCTTCTCATTACATAAACAATGCCTGAACTTATCTAACCAACAAACTTATTTTTCTAAAAATTAATCTGTGACTGAAAGTACTATCATGTTTGCTGGGAGCCATTCTCATTTGAATCATACCCAAAAAGGCTAGAAATAACTCAGCACTAGAAAGTGGCCCAAGTGCTAAGGTTGTCTATGGCTCTTGCTACAAAATAGTTGCCAGTCTAATTTGAATGTTTAAAAAGAATGACAGGAATTACAGGGTTCTTCTTGATTTCAAGAGAACTTCCCAGAAGGAGGTGGAGGACCAAGAAATCCACCTGCCTGCTTGGTGGCAGCTCGTGAAGGGGCAAGACCAAGAATCTTCTGGATGTTCTGTGAAGAAAACAGAATTAAAATTGGGTTTTAATATGAGATAGAAGAGTATTTATATAGATCCCATATGAAGAGAAGGCATATAAATTAAAAGTACCATTATGACCTATTTAAAATAGGACAATTACTACCGTGTTATTTTTTAAAAGGCTACAACACAATGGAGGTCATAAGACAGTAAAAGCCCTCTCACCTAATGCGACCTTGGTCCACAACCAAAAGAAGCTGATTTTTTCAAGTGGAGAATCATTGAAAGAGGTAATCTTTTATTTCAACTCGAAGCATATAAAGTATATTCATTAGCTGTTTCTTACAGCAAGGCCTTTTCTCTCAATATGGATCATCAGTTCAATTTAGTCATTACTGCACCATCTAAAGCCGAAACTGAAATACTCAGTTTCAGTTTTTTCAGAGTGGTAAGGGATCTTAGGTTCCTGCAAAGCAATCTGAGTCCAGAATCCTCCTAGATTTCTAGCACCTCCCCTCACCTTTTCACTTGTCTCATTATATCCAATTCAGCAGTTTTTTCAAAAATTCACCTTCATTAAAGTAGTTCTCATAAAAATCACTTTTTATATTCATATTTTATTACTTACTGTAACATTAAATTACATAAATACAACAACAAGTAAAACCAGCATAAACAGTTTTAGGATAGATACAGGCTCTTGAAAAGCAATGACTCACCTGGTAGGAACAGACAGGTGTGGGCATACCACAGAGCAAACCATGAATGGAGAATGTGATGCGGGGATTAAATGCTATGCCTTTTTAAAGAGGGAAGTGAGAGGGTTTGCGAATGTGGAGAGCTTCAGTTAAAGGTCAGGTGTTAAGATTCTGTACAGCATTCATAAGAGTGAAAAACTTTAAAGATTATCTACTTTCTCTTGCTCAATTCTTTCATTTTGTATTTGAGGAATTCCAATGAAAACCTGGAAAAGTGTGATGGTTTGTCCAAAATTACAAAGTTAAATGAAGAGCAAAGTTAGAATTAAAACCCATGTGTTTGGATTCATAATCGGATGGATGCTCTTACACAGTACTTCTGATGTTAAAGTTCTGGTCTTCAGAACACACTCTACCCCGTTGGTAGGCAGGTGAGCGAGCGCACATTCACTCAGTAGTTACTGAGCCCCACTGTACATAATGCACCATGACAATACCCATATCCAGCCTTCTCTGAAGTGTATACAATTACAATCCCTCAGTCCTTCATCATTGGGAATGAGGACTGCTACAGATTTGAGTGTTTATATTTCTGACATAGCACACTGCCAGAATATAACAGAATATATAAAAATGAAGACACAACTTTAAGAACTCATTCAAATTATATTTATCACAAAAACTTCATTCATTCATTTATCCATCCACTCACATACTCACAACACTGCAGCTTGTGCTTTCTTTTTTTTTTTTTAATTAACATATAATGTATTATTTGTTTCAGGGATACAGGTCTGTGATTCCTCAGTCTTATATAATACCCAGTGCTCATTACAACACATACCCTCCCCAATGTCCACCACCCAGTTACCCCATCCCCCCAACCCCTTGTGCTTTACTTTAAAAAGAAATCTGGGAGGAAGCTAAGAAAAAAAAAAATCAATCATTAGATTAGGCTGCTTCTCCTTAGTAAAGCTGGAGAATGTATTACTTTTATAATAACTCCTTCATGCCTGCTTCTAAAAAGGTGTACAAAACAGTAAGACCAAATGATATAATGTCACTAATTTCCCATTTCTTTTATTTAATCAGTAAGTCTTTACTGACCACCTACAATATATCCAGCATTAAGCAAGGCACTGTGGGAAATGACTTTAAAGATAAAATTTGAAAGAATAAGACATTACAGAATTAGCTATGGATAGACACATTTGTCTAGTTAACAAACACAATAATACAGTCTAGACAAAATATACTAGACATCCTTGATCAGTTTTTCTGTAGAGACAGGGGCCAATTAAGTGAGTCCTTACCATTTTAGAAATAAAGACTAGTGTAAAACCTCTGATGCCCTTTAAATTACAGGTTTACTGTAATTTAAAGAAACAACTCAAAGGAAAATAGGAAATATTTTGAAGGGTAGACTGTTGACGTCTTTTCTTTTTTTTTTTAAAGATTTTATTTATTTATTCGACAGAGAGAGACACAGCGAGAGAGGGAACACAAGCAGGGGGAGTGGGAGAGGGAGAAGCAGGGACCCTGGGATCATGACCTGAGCCGAAGGCAGACGCTTAACGACTGAGCCACCCAGGCGCCCTGACGTCCTATTTATGAAATAAAAGCATCTAAATGACTACTGGATACAAGTCCACTGCTCTAGATGGGGAAGAGCTCAAACAGCAACAAAAACATTAAAACGGACACACTTTATTGGCAAGGCTGAAGTTCATGGAAATCCAGGCAGCTCTATACTTTGTTCTCCTGTGGCTCTTGTCACAGGCTTCCTTTGGGAACACTAAGTTTATCAGTGTTACATTACTCAAGTATTTGTATTTTACTATAAATGCTTTCTATGTACTACATGCAATCTTATCCTTTAGTGAAATTCTAAACAATCTGTTTAAATTCCTATAGTTTCACAAATGAACCCAGGGCTTTTGATGGTTTTCTTAGATAAGATTTTCTCTGCTTCCCTGTCCGTGAAGTCTTTTTGGTGTAGGAGCTAACTGATGCTCTCAAGATGCAAAAAAGATGGGTAAAAAAGAAGAGGTCACCATTCTCTCTCCACAGTAGTAATACCATCCAACATTTCTATGCACCTTAAAGTTTACAAATAGTTCTAAGGACTAGATGCCAGTCCTCAGTTATCCTTGCTTTGGAGATGAGAAAGTTGAGACAGAGAGGTTACAAGTCAGGACGTGAACTGACATACAACTCAAAGTACAGCTTTCCTCTATTAAACCACTCTCTAAGAGATCGTTATCTTAGTAATAAAAAAGATCTTGTAGCAGTCCTGGCCTATAAAAACATTCTGTTACGAAGATTACGTATGAGCACATGCGTATGTTACATCATTAAGTAAATAAATGCAGGGGTGCCTGAGTGGCTCAGTCAATGAAGCGTCTGCCTTTGGTTCAGGTCATGGCCTTGGGGTCCTGGAATCGAGCCCTGCATCGGACTCCCTGCTCAGTGGAGAGCCTGCTTCTTCCTCTGCCCCGCCTCCCCCTGCTCATGCTCTGTCTCTCTCTTAAATAAAATCTTTTAAAAAAATAAATAAATGCATATAAATTCAAACCCACAAAATGTACAACACCCAGAGTGAACCCTAAAATAAATTATGGACTCTGGGTGACAAAGAAGTGTCACTGTAAGTTCACTGACTAGAACAAATGCAGTGCTCTGGTGCTAGGGGTTGTGGTTGGGGAGACTGCGCACATGAGGTGGCAGGGACGAGATGGGAAATCTCTGTACCTTCTGCTCAATTTTGTGGGGAACCTAAAATTGCTCTAAAAAATAGTCTATACAAAATGCATATAAAAACTGTAAAGAGGGCGCCTGGGTAGCTCAGTCATTAAGCGTCTGCCTTCGGCTCAGGTCATGATCCCAGGGTCCTGGGATCGAGCCTCGCATCGGGCTTCCTGCTCTGAGGGAAGCCTGCTTCTCCCTCTCCCACTCCCCCTGCTTGTGTTCCCTCTCTCACTGAGTCTCTCTCTCTGTCAGATAAATAAATAAAATCTTAAAAATAAAAAAATAAAAATAAAAAATAAAAACTATAAAGATATATAAAAAATAAGTTTATATATCCTTTTCTCATTCCTTGTCGCCAACTTTTTGAAATATTGCTAAACAGGATAATTTATTAAAAAATTTTTTTTAAAGATTTTATTTATTTGTCAAAGAGAGGGAGAGAGTACAAGCAGGGGGAGTGGCAGGCAGAGGGAGAAGCAGACTCCCCGCTGAGCAAGGAGCCCGATGCGGGGCTCAATCCAGGACCTTGGGATCATGACCTGAGCCGAAAGCAGATGTTCAACTGACTGAGCCACCCAGGCGTCCCTATTTTTAAAAAATTTTTTAAAGATTTTATTTATTTGAGAGCGAGCGAGCAAGCACGAGCAGGGCAGGTAGCAGAGGGAGAGGGAGGAGACTCTCCACTGAGCATGGAGTCTGACACAGAGCTCGATCCCAGGACCCTGGGATCATGACCTGAGCTAAAGGCAGATGCTTAACCGACTGAGCCACCCAGATACCCCTAAACAGGATAATTTAAAATAAAGGTGAATATTTCTATGGGTGCTATCTCAAAGGGCTAGGCATTGTTCTAAGTACTTCACATGAATGTTCTCATTCAATCCTCACAACAGCTCAGTGAGGCAGGCTTATTATCCTTATATGCAGATGAGGAAAAAGAGTCAACTGTCAGAGTGATTCAATAAATTCTTACTGAGCATGACACACTGTAGCAGATACTTTTGTATACATTATCTCCATTATGTCTTTCAACAACCTTATCCATTAAACTTGACCTGACTGCTTTCCTATAATCTCCTAATTCTCCTCCAATTTTTCAGGGCTTCTTAGTAAGATTTAGCTTAGAGATACGCATTTTGCTGAAAGACAAAAGCTTTTTGTTTTTTTTAAGATTTTATTGATTTATTTGACAGAGAGAGACAGCGAGAGAGGGAACACAAGGGCATAGAGGGAGAGGGAGAAGCAGGCTTCCCATGGAGCCAGGAGCCCGATGTAGGGCTGGATCCCAGGCTCCTGGGATCACAACCTGAGCCAAAGGCAGACGCCTAACGACTAAGCCACCCAGGCACCCCAAGACAAAAGCTTTAATATATTATAAAGATGGTATGGAAGAATACTTAATATACATGCAAAATACAGTAAGATTTGGTAAGGTTATAGAAAAATATAAAACAATTATTTTGAATTTCTGTTCTGTCCTGTGTAATAGGGTAACAACTAAGGAGTGTATGTCAGAAGGGAAAAACAAAGGAAAAACATTTTCCCATAATCATGCCTTCAATTGGCAGGAAACCCAGAAAAATACC